CTGGGGGATTTTTCTTGACCTCTCTCCCATAAAAATGCAGAGAAAAAAATGCAACAAGAACGCAGGTAATTTACATATCAGTCTTAAAGGCACGGTAACAAAACCAGCCTGTTTAACTTGGTCATGTTTTTGGTAGATAAAACCACAGAAATAATCATCAGTGAACAACAATAAAGGGTGAAACACAGGAATATTGTAGCAGTGGTCTGAGTGGATCAGTGCTGCTGGAGTTTTTAAACACCTCAGTGTCACTGCTGGACTGAGAATAGTCCACCAACCAAAAATATCCAGACAACAGCGGAAAAGTATCAGAGAAACATATGGACTACAGTCTGTAACTGTAGAACTACAAAGTGCACCTATATAGTAAGTGGAGCTGATAAAATGGACAATGAGCGTAGAAACACTTCATAATGAAGTGGCTGATCGGTGTGTATTTAGTTCAAAATGGTGCTGAAGCCTCAGTTTTCCATGATTTTGGCCTTTTAATCAATTTAACCTAATTTATTCTTTATCAGGCGATCATGACAGCCCTATAAAACACAGTGAGGAGGTGAAGAGGCGGCTCACCTCGCGTCTGTATGCGGAAATTGATCTTGCTTTCTGAGGGGTGTGTGATGCTGTATCCACAGAACTCCACGTCAGGGCTGTGGAAACAAAAACAAAGCCATTAGCAAATCACATTTAAACCAGAATAACATTCACTAGTGAGGCCTGCCAAAACAGACTGGACACCATCAAGCTGAACGGTTTGTCCCTATTAGTGTGAAGCTCATGACAGTTCATTCCAGCCTTTCTCAGTGTTTCTTTCTCTCAATCTCGGGCTCAGATCTGTTTGAGTAGCACAACTTTAATAGCTGTTTTTCCCAAAAGCACAAAGCGGTTCACCTTTTAAACGCTGACCTCAGGTGATGACAGTCTAGAGACATGAATATTACTTATCAGTGTCTGACAGACTGTTTGAAATAACAGAACAGTGATGAGCTTCGGCTAAAAGCAGGAAAAGGCTCATACAGTATGTTGATCTGTGTGCGGACCACCTCTGTCAGGTAATATAAGGGTAACATATCTCTTACTTCTTCATGACCATGTATCTGAGGGAGTTGCCCAGAGTGTGGTCCTCCTCGTGCAGGACAAACGTCACACAGCCTTCGTCAGCGCCATCGGCCTGGACCTGTTAACCAAAACAGTAACTGTCAGCTCAGCCAATTACGCAGCGAGTTTTCCAAAAGCACTGTAGCATAAACACTGAGGCCCATTTCTTCTCTTCACCCCTGCCCCTTGTTTTAGAGTGTCACACTAACCCCTTGGAACTGAGTTACAGGGTAGTGGTTGAGATCCTCCCTCTGAAATGGGATCCTCAAATAAAAAGAGCATCACTTCATTAACAGCTACTGGCGCTGCTCTGTAGGCGACCCTGCCAGTCTGCAGTGACAGCAGAGGAGGGTAAAGTTCAGCTCCTCACTGCTGGGCTTTAGTTACATTTAGGGAATCATATGATCTTCAAAGAGGGGGGCAATTATTTATTATCACCCACCCCTAATTCTTCAGTGATATGAAGCTGAAGTCAGATATTCACCAGATTCTTGTTCTAATTTTCCCGTTCCACCTTAAATAGTCCAGCAGTTCTGACGCCTGAGGAGCCAGAATGTAACTGCTGCAACATGGAAAGTTAGCTAGCTACCGAGACATTAGCATGCTATTAGCGATTTTTTATGCTTGTTATGAAGAAAACGACCATAATACACTGAAATGACATTAAACTAAGATAATATGATGGTTATTGTATTTTTTTAGTGCAGAAAATTCTGACATTTGTGGGTTTCTTTGGTCTCTTGTTCTCCGTCTCGCCGGTTTTTCTTTTTTTCTCATAACTCTCTGTTTGGAGTCTCTGAAAAACCTCCGTTTGGAGGGTCATGTAGCCCCAATACTTCACCCTACCCCTCTATCTCAACAAGAATTGGGACACCTTACCTCTAGATGTGAAAGCGCAAAACAGAGGGGTAGGGCTGAGTGGTGGGGGCGAGGGGTGAAATGGGACTGGGCCTTAATATGGATGACTTTAGATACCAACACTGGTGAGCAGAGATGAGTCAGAATGATTGATTAGTTATAAAAGCTTAAAAAAAACAAACAGTCAGTTCTTTTATTTGCAAAAGCTTATATGTTGTCATAAGAACCACCAGATGTCTGAACTCTATACTCCACTAACCCGCAGTGAACAGTGCACATTTTATATTTTGGATAGAATTTCTCATCCATTTAGTCCAAAGAAGGAGGCATAGAAAGACCACAGGCTGACGGACACCAGGCGAGAAGCGTTACGCCGGCAGAGAATCTCTCTGGTGGGAAGTAGCAGACAGTGTGAAGCGCAGCTGAAGCACATAGGAAACACTGCATTTCACACCCGACTCATACACATTTAACAAGATTCCAGCATCATTTAGTGAATTTAACAGGTTTGGTATAAACCAAATAACTATCTCTTCACCAATACACTGGTTTTCAGTTAAAAGGTGTGTGATATAGAGATGCTGTGTGGCGTTACTGTCACTGGTCACTGTCCCCTGATGTGTCCATTGTGCAGTAGCCCGTATCCCTAACAGTATCTTCTAAATAAAGCCTTAAAATCTGAGTATCAAATTTGACTGAAATGCCCAAACCTACAGTAATTCCTATCTTAAAGTGATGATTAGTCCAAAAATCCTTTCCTTTGACCACAAATGTATCAAATCAGCCAAGACATGTTTAGAGTTTCTTTAGTTACTGCAAGTCTAATGTGGCTAATAAGTAATGGAGGTTTATAACCACCAGGCTTAAATAACTACACACTAGTTTTACATGGCGTTAAGTCTGTAAGTCGTCTCAAACAGACTTGCTCATGTGGTTCAGACCTCATGTGGTTTCTGACACTGTATGACATGAAGCATCTATAAAAATGCAGACAAGTTTCAGGCTTCATTAAAGTCACTACTACTGTTTTCAGCTATGTGATGATCTTTGGCCCCTTCTGAGAACCACCTGAGCTGGTCTATTTGAGATTACTCAGTAATAGAGATCGTACCTGTATCAACATTATATTATATATCGAGGACAAAAAAGGAATGAATCTTATCCAAAACTGTAACAAATCTGCGCTGAAAAAGCTGAGACACACACTGTGATGTGATGCCAGCTGTGCGTTTCTTCCTGTGGTGTAATAGAGTGTTAGCAGGTAAGGCAGCCAATCAGCTACTTTGCACATTAATACTTAGTTATAAACAATGAACAAAGAAAGACAATGAAATCATTAATCTTGTGGTCATTTATGAAAGTTAATCGTCAGCTGAAGCGTAATGATAACGACAGCTCTGCCAGACTGTTTGACAGTCCGAAGCAAGTATGTGACTCTGTAGGAAGGCAGTTTACATGATGTTAATCTGTTGCCTGTTAGCCTCATCAGCTAAATCACTCCAGTGTAAAACTAAAAAACAAAGCTGATCGACTGCATTCTGGGTAAGGAGTAAAACTGGGGCTGAACCATTATTTTAACACCATTAGAGATCATACAGATCATTCTCAGCCTGCACGGCTCTTCATTACGTCACTATGAGAGACACAGATGTGTTTTAAGACACTGTTAATGATCTAAACCAGGGGTGTTAAACTCAACCAGTAAAAGGGCCAAATTAAAAAATCTCATCAAATCTGTGGGCCAGAAAAAAAATGTTTGTTATTTGTTTTTTTATTTAATGTTGTGCTGTAACCTAAACTGGCCATTGTTTATTCAAACTATGCAAAAACTTAAACAGTAAAACACAGACACCTGTATTACCTTGAAATATTATATAGACATTTTAAATATTTTTCAAATGTAAACGTCCCCAGCAGCTCAGTCTTTTAAACCTACCTATCTGCTCGAATTAGACTCCTGGCATCTTTTCTTTACTGCAGGTTCATTAAGACTTGAGCTCAGTTTCTGAGCTGCTGAGCTGACGGTCAGTGTTTATGTTGGTTGAGCTGCAGCTGAAATGCATTTTGGTGATATGACTGATGTGGAATTGTGCAGAATTGAGGTGTAACTGCTGTCCTATCGACTGCTGTTGGGGTAGGAGAGTCAGAGAGAGTTAAAACACCTCTGCGGGCCGGATGGGATTGTGTGACGGGCCTAATTTGGCCTTGTGTTTGACACATGGGATCTGGACCTTCTCCAAACAAACACGTCTCTCTTAATGAATAAAAGCCTGTATGGGCTGAAAACCACTGAGGAGACAGTCAGCTGCTATTTATAGACAGGAAGGGTGGGGAAGTAAGGGGTGAGAGAATCCATTGATCATAACGGGGGATATTTTGTTCTCTTTTGAACAGGAAAGATCTGTTGACACAGGACAGGAGGAGTGGTCGGCATCAAAAACTGCACAAGGATAAAGAGGTGGATGAAGGGAACGACTGATAAAAACTCCATTAGTGGCGCGGTCACCTTGAAATGACGCACCGTCAAATTCTCTTATCAGGTCAAGCAGCAGATGGCTTTGAGTCTCTAATCAGACAGTTTGGGCTAAAGAGAAAAGGAGCTAAACTGAACTTCGGGGCTTTTCCTCCAGGCCTCTGTGATCGTTATCTTTTACCATAAGGCAACGGCGTGAAATAAATCACAAAGCGTCGAAACAACAGATGATTTTTTAAATTCAGAACTTCACAGTGATGTTTTGGGTCCTGCTTAGAAAAGAAAACCTGGATTTGGCTCTGAAACGAAAGCAAATTGTCTCCCCAGCATTTTACAATGAAGATGAGAGCTGGGCTTGGAATTTTACAGAATTAAATTTTAATAACATTTAAATTTCGTTAGGCTGAATGATTTTTTACTCAATAAAGATTTACAGTAAATAAAAATAACAGAGATCTTTCATGTTCTACTCTATAAAAAACTAGATTTGAGTACAGTATAATAAATAAAATATACTGTTCTGAATAGTAATAATGCGCTGGTGGATACACATTTTGGGCATTTCTGTTTTTGAAAAGATCTTCCCTGATTGCTTTTTGTGTAACGGCACAGGAATCTTCATTCATTTCTGGAATTTTATTAACAGTCTTCATGTCTTTGGTTTCCTCTAGATCTGAATTCATGCTGGGTTAGAGACCCTCGGCGCTCCAGCTGCAGGAAGCGCAGCCCTGCGTTCTTTACTTCGAGCTCTGAAAGCGTTCAGACCAATAATTCACCAAAACAGCTTCACAAACACCAAATTACCTGAACTGTATGAAAGCTGTTTGGATCTTTAACAGAGTCTTCACGCTCACAAATCCATTTTTCTCTTGTTGGGGAACTAAAAGCGGTTCTTCTCTGTCGCATCGCTCGAAGAACCCTGTGGAACCTTTATTTTAGGACTGAAGGAAGCGCCAGCTTTAACCTGTACAACATGCTGCCCTCCAGCGGCTGTACTGTGAAATCGCAAGTAACTTAGGTTTTGTCCATTTCTGTTTAATTTAAACTGATTTAGTGATCAGAACAAAAGCAACACTGATATCACAAGATATGCTAACACAGCGAGATCTTCTATAAACACGGATAATTCAGTATAGCACTGGAAATCGCATCGATTGCTTATTTTGCTTGCTAATGCTGTATTACTAAAGAGACGGATTATTATATAAGAATAATTATTACACTATAATCTAACTTAGTTAGTCGCCGTTCAGCAGGTCAGTACAATATCACCACCATCATCATCATCATCATCATCACCATCATCATCATCATCATCATCACCATCATCACCGTGACGGCTGTAAGTGGTTTTGTGCCTCCTCTGCCTGATCACTGTACAGTGAGGAGGTTTGAGACACTCCAGTCATGAACACATAAAACTGTGCTGATTTATTTTAACGAGGGAATCAAACTCTCCCCTGTCTAATCCGGTAAAGGCGCCCCGGTATTATAAACTCACCGTCTCCAGCGCCGCCTTCCTCTCCGCTTCGGCTCCAGCCATGCTGACTGCGGGCACACGGCACACGGCGCCTTCGGATGACGTTGGACTCAAGAATGTGACGTTGTTTGTTTTTCTTGCTGACCGAGGACCGAGCGGGGAATATTCAATACTCAGCACGTGACCGCATCGCACTGAGCCCTCTCCCTTCACACGCTTCATGGTGGCAAAGCTATAATTGTATCAAAGGCATATTTCCCCTTTGATTTTTTAAAAATATTCTTCAGATAATTTTACGTCTAACTGTCTGACTACGGCTATCAGACTCGGAGGAGCCTCTATTAACACAGCTGGTGATACCGTACATGCGCGTCTCTGTAGAACAACACCGAAAACTGACAAACATGTATTAAATAACGAAGTCAAAGAAGTAACAGACAAACCCTTCATAGTGTTACCCCTGCAGCAGTACAGTCCCAAATATAACCCACAAGTAGAGAACATGTGTAACTTCTGTGGTGAAATAAATGAATGTATTGAACACATCTTCTCCAACTGTATTCATTCTAAGAATATTTCGTATGATGCAATGACAAAAAAATAAACGTCATATTAAGAATAGATATATCTGATATGTTATTTTATTATAAAGACTCCAACAAAGACATTTGCTACTTGCTTAATCTGTTCATTCTACTTGATAAATATTTTATCCATAAAATGAAATTTACAAAGAGAATCCCATCTTACAGTGCATTTAACGATGACTTTTACAGTTATATCTCCTCAATCCAGTATGTGTATTATAAAAGAATAGCTAAACCAATTATCATTATTATTTGTTGTATTATTCTTTATTTCCTTTATTTAAACATTTGACTTCTCATTGTGAACTACTGTTATGCTGAAACCCTGTCTCTGATAATTACTTATTCCTCTAGCAATGTAAAAAAAAAACAAAAACAAAAAAAAAAACAAAAAACACTGAAACTACACTGGACTACATTTCCCAGCAGCAGCGCAGCGGAAGTTTGTGGCCTCCATGAATCTGGGCGATGCGGAAAAACTATCGAGAGCTCTGAAGCGTTTCATGTCCGCCGTGTGGATGGGATCAAAGGCGTGATTAAAGCGGCGACAGGTATATTTTGTTATTATAATATTCCCGCATGCGGTGTAAAAACACAGACCTGCGTTTGGCTTCGAGCTAAATAAATAAATAAATGCCCGCTCGGGGTTTTTTTCTGGACACGGCCAGCGCGGATTTTCATCAGATCGAGTGAAACTTTATAACATTCAGTCTCCAAAACGGTGATTAATAAATGTGATCGGGTTGATCAGCGCTGATTCCCTGTTTAAAGCGAGAATCTGCGGCGCGGCTCGGGGCGGGCTGGGCTGCTTTACTAGCGCGGCTTTTCCAGAAGGCTGTGTTTTGTTGTGCTAGCTTGGTTAGCTTAGCTCGCTGTGGCTCTGGTTCACTTTCAGCGGCCGTGTTCGGTCCGTTAGCTTAGCTGTCCGACTAGCGGGCTATACTGTGGGGGTTTTGACAGCTCGACCAAAGGTAACATCAGTTAATCTCTCACTGCGCTGTTTTAGCCGACTGGACGTTTTACTGTGGGTCGCTGGCGCTGCTAACGTTAGCTTACAGCGTCGGACTCATCAGCAGATATTGACCAACACTGATGTGTCGTTTTGCTGACCTGGCGCTGATAGGAGGATATACACTATACTAACTCTTACACTGGTTCATAACGACTCCTAAAGGGAAATTCACCCAGTTTCTAAACAAATCTGCATAATTAACTGGGTAAGATGTAAACAGAGCGGTTCAGAGCGGATCAGAGTGGTTTGGTGTGAAACGCTCCGTTCTAGAGAAACTTACTGAGTCAGAACTGTTCACAGTGGTGGTGATAGGAACCAGACGTCCACCTCTAAAAGCTCCCTCACAGGAAGTTCCTACATGAAATGGTTATGAATTCACTGCCTGATGACTGAGACACTGTTTTACCACAGTTTTGTGATAAAGTTTTGGCTTAAAATGTATTTTAGTCCATTTATTTTAATGATACACTCAAGTCCTCAAAGAAAACATATTTTTTCCAGATTGATGCCTATTTTACCATCATTAACGTTACATATTAAATCTTAGAGGACTCGTGTAGGTCCACTGGTGGTTTTGGATAGGAAATAAAATGGCTGTATCTGTGTTGTAGACATGACAACCCCTGGTTCCTATCACCACCACTGTAAAGTCTGACGCTTCTGTACAGTGAACCACTTCACCTCAGATCCCTCTGAGAGACTTTTAAAATTTCAGTCACTGAATTATTCCTTTGAAAAATGGTGGAATTCCCCTTTCATTTTCAATTGCACTTTTTTTTTTTTTGTTTTCCAGTCATTTTCTGATTTACAATTATTTTGAGGATTTTTTTAAAAGCATTCATGGCAAAAGGGGACATGCAGGGACCATTTCACATCAAACCACTGTGAATGAAAACGACTGAATTATACAGAAATTTGTAGAAGTCCTCTTTAACACAGCTGGGTGGTTCTGCGTGTTTTGCTGTAATGTAATTGTGTCCACTGGTTTGATAAACTCTCTCAGTTCATCCCTAACTTTTTTTTTTTGTCCGCAGCTCTTGCAGTTTTTCTCGGTGAGTGAATCGGACCTCATTTCCTCGTCGCCCCTGCTATGGCAATCCTTTTTGCTGTGGTGGCTCGTGGAACGACCATACTGGCCAAACATGCCTGGTGTGGTGGAAACTTTCTTGAGGTGACAGAGCAGATTTTGGCCAAGATCCCATCTGAAAACAACAAACTCACCTACTCTCATGGCAGGTAGGAGGAACAGGCCATCAGGCATTGGATTCAATTTTTATCATTGCATTTTCTAGTACTAAAAAATCAAGGTTAATTCCTTTGATCCAGTGAAGCCCTTCAGATACATCGTGAAACGTCTAAGATTATAACACCTTGATTTAGTAGTAGACGTGGGCGCTGCTGTTTGTGTAGCTGGTTTGTTCAGCATATTGTTTTTGTTTATTAATATGGGCTGTTCCTTCAGAGTTGACTTTGCTGAATTGCTAACTTTGCTAATATTCATTCCAGCTATCTCTTCCACTACATCTGCCATGACAGAATCATCTATCTGTGTATCACAGACGATGTGAGTATCAAACATTTCCTGATCAACTTGTTTTTTTGGAGGCTCTGCAGCCGAAACTGTGATAAGTCATTAAATCCTGGTTATGCAGTTGAGTATCTGCCAGCGAGGCAGTTCGCTTTCACCTCGTAGGTAGATGATAGTGAGTGGTGTGGGTTTGTGTGCAGGACTTTGAGAGGTCGCGTGCGTTTAGCTTCCTCAATGAGGTGAAGAAACGTTTTCAGACCACCTATGGCTCCAGGGCTCAGACGGCTTTACCCTACGCCATGAACAGCGAGTTCTCCAGCACTCTCGCTGCACAAATGGTAAGTGGCACATTTTTTATCTGCCTCTACTGTCATTTACTGCCAATCACAGTTACAAAGAAAGGCTCCTGAAAATTTGCATTCACTTTCCATAAAAACTCCCTCGTATAGTTATCTGTTCTTAAAAGAGGGTTTCTCTGGAACAGTCAGCGTAAAAAACATCTTCCACTGCTGCTGTAGTTTTATGTTCACACCCTGAGGCACCGGTCCTGGATTTAAGGCACCCCTCCCCTACAAACATGCTTGGCTCTGCAACACTTTCCCTTAGGAATTGAGCGATTGGTACCGTACGCTGGGCTATAGGAGCACATTTTTCTAACTGCTTTTATGTAGGAATTAAATTTTCTGGAAAAAAAATAAATGAAGAATTTCTTTCGACACAATCTTCAACTTTCTCTGGTTTGCTGACTCCAGTTCAGTAGTGCATTCTGCCGGTGCATCCTGTTAAAACCTTTACCTGTAAAATATATATTTTAGATTCTATTTGATACTTTATAAGGATGCATGCTCCATGTGGCCTTTGAAGCTGAGAGGTAGTGGACTACAGGAAAACTGCAGCTGCAGATGAAAATACAAGACTCGGTCGAGTTTCAGGACGTGCTCACGCTTGTCAGGTCTGGTTTGGTGTGATCACTATTAGTGCCTGTTTACACCGTGCATTAACATGTGCTTTTGGAGATTGGACCATATTCTGATTTCACTTGATCTCACAAACAGCCAGGTTGCATTGTTTAGAAAAAGATCCAGACACAAAACCTGTTAATATAAGTTGTAAACAGGGTCAGTGAGAACGCTGCCTTTCGAACCCGGCTGGCCTCACCAACTCTGGTGCACTTAATATGAGCACTGAACAGACCGATGGACCAAATACTGGATAAACCACAGACAAGTTTCTGACGCTGCATGTGTTTCATCACTTGATGATGAAACGTACTGGGTGTGATCTGAGCTCTGTTTTATCTGCATGTAAACAAAGTCACTGCAGTTCGGCCTTTTCTCCTTTAGAGCGACGCAGAGAAACTTATTTATGCATTTGTTACAAGCAGAGCAACTAACCAAAATTTTAAAAGAGCTGCACTGGCTGCTTGTATCGTTCAGGATATATTTTAAAGCTCTGTTACTAGTTTTTAAAGCTCTAAATGACCTTAAAGCTCCTGAATGTCTGTCTGTTTATGATCTTAGATTACCCTCTGTAAAATACAGAAAACGTGGAGAGACTCTTTCAGTTATTCTGCTTCTAAACTGTGGAGCTCAGTTCAGCTTTTATTAGACAGTCGAGCTCAGAGCTCACTTTTAATAAACACCTGAAAACTCAGCTCTTTAACTCAGAGCTTCATTTAAACTCTACGTCTGTTGGTATTTCTTTTTTATTTGATCTGTGTCATTTTCTGAATTCTGAATGAATATTTATCTCTTCTATCACAGTTTGAGCTGCCACCAGCATTAAAGTGCTGTATAAATAGACTATTATTATTATTTGTAGTAGTAGTATTAGTAGTAGTATTATCATAATGTGGTCTGAATTGGTAATTAAAGAACAGATTCTTTCAGTTTTAAAATGTGGCTCAGACATGCTGAAAGCCATTCTACACACTTACCACACACATCACTGCACGCATCAGTCGTATGGTGTATTAATGCTCCAAAGTTCTGATGGTTTATAAGATTAGTTAGACCCTCAAGGCTGATTGATTTGATCTAGTGATGCGTATTTTGAGTCATTTTGAGTAAGAGTTCATGAACAGATAAGCAGTTAACCACAGAGAAGGAACAACAGTGGCAGGCGTACATTTTTTGGTCACAGTGCTGCTGTTGCACAGAAATATATCAGCACACAGGAATATATTTTAGTATTCAAACACAGCCGAGGAACACTGGTAGGTAGACTCTGCCTTTAGATGAGCTAACGGGCTAACCGAGCCATCTAGATTCACGTTGGATGCTGAAGATTCATACATTCCTAAAGTCTTCTACATGAGGTATTTTCTCTGCAGTGGACGATGTGCCAACATGTTTTTTGTCAGAAAGATATTTTCCCTGTTTCTGGACCCAGCTGGACATTAGCAGGAGCAGCAAGCCAAGTTACTGACACAGCCCCGCTATCTCTGCCTTCTCAGTCATGTTACTTAAAAGTGCACCCTTGGCAACGCGCTCACATTCAGGCGCCCGTGTTTCAGAGTAGCAGAGAATTCGAGCAACGTCAGTATTCGAATAATAGCGCTGCAGATGGTTCACTGAGTACGCGACGGAACGTTGGCTTCCGTTATTTCGTTGTGGGAAAACCATGACAGTTGATGACCTACTGCTCTGGATTATCAGGACATACGTAAAACCCAGAACCTGGGTTAAGCCAGAGAACAGCATGGATCAGTTCGCTGGATATTATTCTAGTTATTGTCACCAAATTTATGTCATAAAATCCACCCAATCAGCTGTGACTTTTTAAGACGTTTGTTTACATCTTTTGGTTCAGAGTCAAATATGTCAGTGTGAACGCCAAGCAAAACTAAAATGAACTAAAATGCAACGCGCATTTTCCTATTCTAAAACACTCACTTTAACTCGGACAGGGTTTGCTAATTAACTGCTTCGTTGGATCAGGTGTGTTAGGAGCAGGGAAATGCTACAAAGTGCAGGATGGAGAATAGTCCAGGACCGGGGCTAGGAACCAAACTACAAATGCAAACATGCTCTTGCCTGGAAAAGAATCCAGCCCTCACGAAATGTGGCAGATCAGCTTTAATAAATGCCGACTTAGCTGTATTATTGAGTGACGCCGGCATCGGCTGTTTTCCCAGTTGACAGGCCTGAAATGGCAGTGGCGTGTGTGAGCCTGTCAGAAACGCTCCTTGTGGTCCCAGGATACTTTAGGAAATGTGTGTTGGGGGGGGGCTTTTGAGAGAATTCCTCATTTTGTTGTGTTTTGACTAAATTCTCCTTCTCTATAAAACTGTATGTATTTCGAATGCTCTTATATTTGATCATTGACTTAAACTGCACTGTAGAAACCGATGAGTTAAGTCAACTCAAATGATTTGAGGAAACTGATTATCTCAAATGTTTCAAGTTCGATATCTCATTTACACTTAAGTAAATCGTACTAACTCCATTTGTTTTGTTGATATTAAAATGATTGAGTATTGGGGACATTTAAGCTGTTCTAACCTAATATAATTAAGTAATTGTAAATTAAATTCACCATTAGGCTGACAAATTCATACTGTACTGCAAAGAGATGATCAAAGACATTTGTAACAAGGTCTTGCCCACCTTAATGTCACCACAGACCACCTCTCCCAACACTGACAGTACAGTCCAGAATACACATATAGTCTCTGTGGCATTGATCCCCAGCAGAACCACAATCAGCAGAGAGGAACTAACTTTGCTTTCTCAACACTGATCTTTGATCAGTACTGATTGGCATGACTCACAAAAGTTTATAAATTTAGGCCAAGAGGACTGATGTGAGTTTTACTCAAGAAAGTTGCATTGACCCAACATTTATCAGGTAAAGCTGAGAGTCTAAACTGCAATAAGTTTATTCAACTTAAAGATCCGATTTGATCGGCTCTTTAAGTCTGAAATCATCAAAATACAGTTATGAAAAAAATCACAAAAGTCCAGATCATTTAAATGTAAACATTTATGCTGTTTATCACATTAAGCCACTCTAAATTTCTGAACCCATAATTGGCCTGTTTGTATTTGCATGTAAAGTCAAGTTAAATAAAAATAGTGAATGTAATACATTTAACTAGTTACCTCAACTTAAAATAAACAGTCTTACTCAAAATGACTGAGTTACTATCTCAGCAATTCATTTTTGAGTTAATTAGAATTTTTCAGATTAATTTACTCCAACTTTCTGTAGTGTTTACGTTGTGTTAACTTAATTCTTCATTAAGATGTGCAGTTGGGTTTTACAGTGTGCTGTTATGGTTTCATGCTATAAGGCGATATCTTACATTCTTGGAGTAGGCATGTAGAGAAAGGGATCAGGGGAGCAGGTATTATATGGGAAGTGGGTCAGTCAGGCTTTAGGATTAGTCGGTCGCGTTTTAACTAAGAAGAGCGGTTATGCTGGTCTCATGTCTCATGATGTGAGCATGAAGTGAGTTGTGAACTTATTAAGCTACAGGTCCTACAGCAGTTTGGGCTTTAAAGAGTGCAATTAGTGCGACTGTAACAGTTATAAATGAACTTCTAATTACGGAAAGTTAGTAGGGCTAAGCGTAGCAGTGGTAGAGTACCTGACTAGTGTGAGACCCCAGGCTGTGGAAACCGATACTGATTTTAAGGAGGTAAAATTTCTGACCATGAATAATTTTATTTTATCAAACATTCAACCGACTTCAGATTCCTTAAACTCAAATAAAAGGCAGAAAATTAAAGCCTTAAATAATATCAATATAAAATGAGCTAAATATTCACAAAGTTGGTTATTAGCACACTTTGGTGGCATCAGTATGTTTGTTTGGTCTAAATTGCATCACCTTCCTGAATGTGGTTTTCTTATTCACCATTGAAAGAGACGTCTCTGCTCTATCAGCAGGATTTCCGCTGATGCTGATAAATTTGCGGAGTTTTAATAACAGCTGATTTTTATTGATCGGTATTGATTACAGTTTGTCCCTAATGTGTATATACGTTTAAATATTATAAATATTTTATTCAATCTTATGACAGAAACATCACTCAGACCCAAGAGGATCCGAGAGATTGACAGAGACCCAAATGCAGGTGGACGACTTGAAAGGCATTATGGTTCGGAACATCGGTGAGAGTTCATTCACTCTGTATCCAGCTCAGCGAACCCTCTGATACAGGGTTTAGATGTTTCCTACAGATGATGAGTGAACGCTTCTCTCATTGCAGATCTGGTGGCACAGCGAGGGGAGAAGCTGGAACTTCTCATCGACAAGACTGAGAACTTGGTAGATTCAGTGAGTATCTCTTTAGGGAACTGTGTTTTGGCGTTTTGGTGCAACAGAACAGCAGTCTAACTTATTTTTCTTTGTCTTTTAACAAAACAGTCTGTCACCTTCAAAACAACAAGCCGCAACCTCGCCCGTGCCATGTGTATGAAGAACCTGAAATTAACACTCATCATTGTAGTGGTAACAATTGTAAGTACAACTATAAAGCAGCAGATAGAGATCCTGAAAACATCAAACAGCGTTGAGTTTTATATAAAAATGGCTTATTTAGGCTTTATTGAATGAAAAAACACTGCTGAACATAACAGATATGACAAGAACGTAACGTACTGTAGTAACTTACATTCTTACTAGGGATAAATGGATACTGGTATTGGGTATTGGGCCGATACCGTGCGCCTTTACTCATACTTAGAAAAATTCATCAATACCAACATTCCGATACCCGCTGATACTGTGTGCCGTAAGCCGAGTGTAGCTGCAGCACTAATGAACGTACGACTCTGCATTTTAGAGCGTTTTAAACACACAATCACAGCCGCTTCCCCAGGAGACACACATTCACACTACAAGCCTTGTTGCTCACATTCGATTTTTTGCTCAAATCCGATTCAAATCTGTCGTTAATGTGACAAACCGGCGTCCTGAAATGACCCTCATGAGCTCATCCTACTCAGTAACGTCACGTGAATGAATCACGTTCATCATCAGCACAAACTAACGAGCAGAACGAGCTTCGCTGAGAAGATCATTAACTCTGATCAGCTCTCAGCTTCATTATTAGAGCGAGACGAAGGAGAAAAAGGTGAGATGAGCTGCTTTTCCACCGTTTACAGGCTTTAACTTCTGTTCGGCGCTGCTGCCATGGTAACGCTGAATGATGGAGCAGTGGGAAAAAAAGCAGATGAATTCCGATCTGAGCGTCACATTAAGGTCACACAGCCATGAATCAGATAAGTATCTGATCTAGGACCACATATGAAAGTGGCTCAGGCTGGATTTGAAAAGATGAGATTTGTGTCCACACAGCTCTGAAAACATCAGATCTGAGTCATGTTAGGGCAAAAAATGGGATTTGTGCCACTTCAGCCTGGTAATGTGAACGTAGCCATAGAGGCCAGCCAAACATTTCCTATCAGAGTCTGTCTATGCAGACTTTACTCTGTTTGACTGAGTAGAATAGCGGAGTGTAAACATTTAATACAGTCATTTTGACTTTTATAAAACAGGCTGTAGACAGACCGTACTGTCCTACCATGAACATCAACGCCTGACTTTAAGCTTCAGTGCTCGGTGTTGGCAGTGCTGCTCAGTTTCTGTACGTTCAGTACTCGGCATAGTGTTTTATTTTGTATGAAACAGCTTTACGGAGCATTTTCATACAGTGAGCGTATATAAATCGTAGACTTCGCCCGAACACGATGGACTATATAAACACACAGTGTGAGTCACCAAAGAACCAAAGAACAAGATTTCTAAAATCACAGAGTGTATCTTGCTTTAGAGGACATTCAGCTTCAGCTTGTAAAACTCAAAATTTGTTTATATTTACCAAATACAATCAAGTTGGTGAACCAGAACATTAGAAGTAATCTCTTCGTAGTTTTGTCAGTTAATTAAAGGTTTAAGAGAACGAACAAATCCGATTGTTGTTTTTATTGTATTTTACACGATAAAACGCAAGAAATGTTCATAATTTGGGCCGAAGCTTTGCAGACATTCAGTCTCTTTCTTGTTTGTTCCTCAGGTGGTCCTGTACATCATAGTGTCTGCAGCCTGCGGAGGGCTCAGCTGGCCCACCTGCCGGAAGAAGTAGAAGGGGAAGCTGGAGCTGAGCTCCAAGTAGATCCCCTCCCCTCTCGCTCTCAAGCCTGGAAGGGAAACAAACCACTTTCTCAAGAACCGTCACACCACTTGAACTCACCCATCCCTTTATCAGGCATTCCTGACCTGTCCTCTGTCAGCCTCCTCCTCTCAACGATGACTGTAGCCTTACAGACAGAGGAATCGGGACGGCCTGGACGTCCTTTTTCAAACGTGTCCTCCATCCTGACGAGATTCCTCTGGTGTTCAGATCCATATAGCAGCGTGTTTCATGGAACACGATAGACCTGAACACGATTCTGCTCTAGTTAGTTCTCTTTACCCCTACGTTGTGATGCAGTTGTGCTTGATGAAGTAGAACTATTAAGATCTTAGAGTCTGATGATGACATATGGTTGAGTTCTTACATGAGATCCTTGTGGGCAAAGGCACGTTTTCATACTTACTGAGCAACATTTACAGAGGTGAACAGGTGTTTGAATGCACTAGTAAGATTGTGGTCAGTAACTTGTGCACACAGTATCCAAATTGACTCTATTGTCTTAAAGTGAATGAGGCATATTATATTAATGATTTTCCCCCGTCAGTGAAAATTGATTCACATTAATGTTATTAAATGTAATGTAAAAATATTAACACTTTACTTGAACCCTGTAATACTGACGTAACCACAGCCATAAACATGTCATAGCAGATGCTGTCATGACAGGTTGTGTTCAGTAATATAAGTGTCACCATCACTGGTTATTGACATGGCATGTGACATTTTCTGTGACATGTTTATGGCATAGTTATGTCATATTTATGTAGCATTGTTCACCTATTACCACAAAAAGTAACAATCTAAAATAATCAGTAGCAGAATGTATTAATGAATGTGTGAATCTCACATTTACAAGTTTTCACTCTCCCTTCTTTTGTATACGTGTTTGAGAGAAATCAACACCCAACGCAAAATTCTAATACGACTTACGACTGGATGGTATAAGTACTTTGACCACTTGGCAGCTTTGTTGGTTTAGTGTGAGCAAAAACATCTAAAGGCGTCTGACTTTATTCACACATACTCTTTGATTAATGTCGATGTAGTGTAGAAGCCCTTAAATATGAAGTTAGAAGCATCTGGTCAGTCACTTCTCTGGTGTGTCTTTTTCTTTATAGACTTTTATTGTCTACAGTGATGGTGGCAGTATTGGAATACTGACCTTAATAACTGGTCTGATGTGAGTTTGCCAAAAAAACTATAAGATCTTTGCATGAAGTTAGAGACAGTTTGAGGTTAAGGTTACCTTAAGGCTATGAAGCTTTTCTGGAAACTAAAATCTGATGTATCCAGCCCTGGTTACCCCTTTCCTCCCACTGGATTTGACATTAATTCTAATGCCCTTTGCAAAGCTTTCAGTTGGGATAACAGTATGTTTGCCAATGTTCCACTGCGTACATGCCTTGACTCATATTGAGCTCAACTGCAGATGCAGGTGTACAGTAATGAGATTAGTATTGCAGAAGAAGCATAAGGCATGAAGGCCTGGTATGCACTAGTGAAGGAAAGGAGATAATCCATCTCCCTGGTTGATTTTTACTTGTTTTTCTCTTACTTTGATCAGTCTAATTGTTTTTTTTCTTTAAACAATGCACTTTTTACATATTATGTTTGCTTCCTGCCATAACGCTGTCAGTAATCATGTAATTATTTAATTATTGCTCAGATTTAAGAAAATAAAGTCATATGAAATCTTAACACTTTTGTATTATGTATTAAGGGTTAATATGGAGTTTATGAAAGCTCATCATGAGATGAAATAACAAGGAACAGAAAGTGAAAGTACAGAGAGCTGAATTCTTTCAGTGTGAATCACAGAAAATTAATGCAAATAACTCTTTGGCCTCAGCAGTTAATTCACTCATCACCTTTACAAGCGTTTCATCATAAATGTTTCCCTTTGAATATTTTTCTCACCAAAGATTTGATGTTTCTCATTTGTATGTGAGATTATGATGATACTAAACAAAGACATTCTTTATATTTACTAAAGATGCTGATAATTCCTGAGAGCTCTGTGCGACAGCGATCCTCATCAAATGGAAATGTAGCTCGACTGACCGAATCCCAATAATCGAGGGTCATGTTTCTCCACACTTTAACCCCTTAAACGGCCAGGGCCAAGATTTACTACACACTTCTATAACCTAAGAACAGCTCGTCTAGTTTGCACTGCAGTCTGCCCAAATTTATATCACACATTTCTACAGCACAAGAACAGCTCAGCCATAATAATGGATAGTGTGTAATAAGTCTGGGATTTTAAGGGTTAAAATATCCGGTACAATTTTTTAAGAACTGCATGTGAAATGGAGGCTTTTAGAAACAGGAGATGAACCATTAAATGGACACAATGGCACTAAAATTCACCTTTTTAACAGAAAGTGTTATGACACAACCAAGTATCAACAAAAACCTGTCACTAAGTGTTACGCAGTGACCCCAGGTGGATGGCCAATTAAAAAATAAAGGTCTCTAAATGGTTTTTAATCTAACTTACGGTTCTAGGAAAAACCTCTAATTGGTAAGAACAGGGATGTCCAAAGTTGGCCAGTGAGGATGACCCACCTGAACCCCCCCACCTCACCGAAATGAGTGAACATTCAGTTTCTTTTCTCTATATAAAATGGTGTTTTTAAAGTGTTTACATAGTGCAGTGTTCTAAAATACGTTTTAAAAATTGATTTGAAACATACCTGCTGCTTAACTTGGCAGGTCATCACAGGAGCTTATAGGATGTGCAAGATATTTCATATTTATGGGCATCAGTTTAATGTAAACAATACTCCTGAAATAGAACCTTGAAGGTTCCTCATGCACACCTAATTTACCAAAATGGTTCTTTAATAAACAAATAGATGATCTATGGCTTTGTTACATAGAGCGCTTTCACACAGAGGATGCTCCTGAAATGTGTTTGATCTTAATTAGTGAATTTGGCTATTTTAAGACGCACTCATTGGGGATATGGAGGTTTAAATGCACCCAGGGCCACTGACTGTGTGATCAGACACGCTGGAGCAATCAGATACAAACCTGGGGCCGAATTACAAAAACTTCCTACCTTTTTGTCTCAACTTAAGATCTGACAGGTCAAGATAAGATTGTTCACAAATCCAGAATTACAGAAGCAAATCTGACCTTAATTTAAGGATCATATCTTATCTTACAGCATCTTTTCTTATCTCTAGTTAGGAAATGTTAACTTCCTTGATCAAAGTCGACAGTCGACTGTCATGTCTGTTACCTAGCAACCGACCATACGCGCACAGCTGAAATGTAAACATGTAATCAAGTTAGTTAGCCAGACAGCTAATGTTAGCTACCGTTACTAATGTACTGTAAGTAGTAAATGCTGTGAGAGCGCCCCCTGCTGTTTATCAGAGCGTCGCCGCTCCACAGTTTCAGTCTCCATTTCCCAAACGCTTTAGCCGAGTGCGCTAACGTTACTCCTCCTAATAAACACGTTCAGCTCCGTCTCCTCATTAATGGCTTCTGTCCTAAACTCAGTCTTAACTGAAGTTGCCATGACAACAAAGCAGATAAGATATGATCTCAGACTTAAGAATTTTCTGTAATGTGACCCCTGAGCTCTCCATGATCCAGAGACTGGAGTAAAGCTGGCCGGCAGTGGACTCTGGAACTGGAAACTCAGGACTGATGAATGTCCACTACACGCCTTTGGAATGAGTTGCTGTTTACAAGCCAGACTTAATCAACCAACATCAGTACCTGTTCACAGCAATGTTCCAAGGTCTAGTGTAAAGCCGTCTCAGGAGAGCAACTTCGATTCTGGAAGAAATGTGGAATTTTATCTTCCAGCTTTTTTTCTGGTTCACAAGAAACTACTAAACAGATCTGAATTCATTTAATTAGACTTTATCAGATTCAGTCAGATTTGGATTATAAGCTCTTTATCTTAACATTTGTGATGTATAGTTTTGCGTTTACTTGCTTTCAAGTGATTCACAACGTTAAATGTTTGCTAACTTTCAAAGAACAGTCAAAGAAGGATTTCGTTCCAAAACACACGATAGACCTAAAATTCTCAAGATTTTCTTTGTTCATTATACACATTGTTGGGAGTGAGCTTCACACATACAAGAAACAATGATGCTATATTATGATTTATACCTTCTTTATTAGAATCTTTTTCCATTATACATCAGCTGTTATTCTTTTTAAACACCTGTTATAGCCAAAAGTGTTACAAACAGATATATATATATATATAGTGTTTTTGAATAAAACTCTTCATGTTCGAGTAGGCAGCATTCGTCTGAAATCAAGTAATCCAGTGATCAAGTAGTGTTTTAACCCCATTAAGGCATGGTCCAGTCCGGATGACCATAAATACAGTAAAGGAACATCTGTAAAGCCATCAGTCCTTAAACTCTGCATGTCTAGGCAAAACACGCAGCAGTAAATTAGAGTTGCAGAAGGAACTGAAAGTTGCCACCAGTAAAAACACAGGATAGGTTTTATTACGGTCTCAATTTTAAGGCCCTGTTTTTATTGTACCCATAACACCTGTTCAATATAATGGCTATTTTTTCTACGCTTAATTTCCAATGTTGCTCCAAAACTGATTAGCTTCTACTGTTTTCAGGCTTAGGAATCACATCCCAATTGAACTTTTCTGTGCACTTTTCCTCACGAATAACCAAATCAGAACATTCCTTCTTGTATGACTTGTGATGTCCTTGACATTTTGAAACTGAATCAAGTCGCAGCTCCAGTCTTTTATGGCTTCCTTCAAGTCTAGTCCAGTATCTCCCCAGGAGAGCTGAAGGACTCAGTCTGAGTTCTCCTGACATGAATGGAAAAATGCATGTTTTAAATATATGAAATCAAGTTTTGGCCATTCAAATGTTTGGAAATTTGCATTATCCTTTAAAATATGTAATTACCTTTAACTCCAGGTCTGATTTTTTCTGTGCTTTCCTGGTTTCCCTTTTTCTCGGGCCAGTTTTGACCTTGGCCCCTTGAATGGTAGATAATGAAGCAACAGTCAGTAATAAAATCAACAGCCATCACTGCAAGTCATACCATGTTTAACAAAACTGTGTTCTCACCAGAGTCATTCAGAGCAGTGTGGCCCTCTGGATCCTGGGGACTGTCTGGCTGAGGCTCATCAGATTTTTTGTAATAGTAGTCCTCAGTCGAGGGGCCAAATCGCTGGTAAGCACATATTAACATGTCACATATTAACACTGTCTAAAGTCAATAACCAATAGCCACTCTATGACACTGTAATCCATCTGTTACTCTGCATACTTTGTTACCCTGTCCTTCAGTGGTCAGTACCCCCATGGACCCCCACAGAGCAAGTATTATTTGGGTGGTGGGTCATTCAGTGACACTGACGTGGTTGTAGCCTTAGTGAATGTTGCGCTGGTACGAGTGGATCAGACACAGCAGTGCTACAGTCCATAACTGTAGCACTACAAAGTGTTCCTATACGGTAAATGGAGCTGATAAAATGGACAAAGAGTGCAGATACAAGGACAACGAGTGTAGAGTGTATATAAAAATATAAATTTATTTACTTCTTTAAACTGACTTGGACTTTAAACTAAAATGTTCTTGCTTTGAGTGGCCCTATTCCTTAATTATTGCTTATTTTATTATAATAAATTAATGAACATTCCATTTTATCACTACCAAAACAATCATAACAGAGAATTTTAGAATTTTAGAGTCAGGTGTGTAGAAGCTGAACTCTCCAGGGTGGTAGATCTCAAAAGTACCTGAATACTTGTTTCCCTTCACTGTATAATGTAGGTGATCTTTGTAGGTATAGGTACAGCTTGTAGCCCATCTGTTTGTAGGTAGGTGTGTCTAATAAAGTGACCAGTATGTATATGAACATACACAGTCTTATAGAGATAACTGGTAAAATTAGTTGTTAATGTTCAGGCGAAGGTTCACACGTATCACTATTGTTACAAGGTTTTACCTTATCAGGCCACATTAAACTGACAAAGAGGATGATGGGAAGTCCCACAGTGAAGACGTACAAGCCCCACAGCCAGGGACGCTTTTCTGTGGCAAGCAGGAGCCGCTCCAGAATCCCCGGCTGGAAGACCACGAAAAATGTGTGAGTACAGTTGGAAGTAATGTGGCATTAAAGACTGACTTGCTTTACAGTGTGTCACATCCAAAGAAAGCTTACTGTCTTTCTCTGTCCCCAGGTGTCCTCTGTCCAGCGTTTGGCCATCTCTAGGTTGTCACACAGCAAGATGTTGTCAAACAGCATATCTCCAGTAAGGGACCACAGTTCAAAGCCTATTGCACCCACAGGGCTCATCCTGAAGGGCTGAGGGTCCTCAAAGTACGCTGGGTTAGGGATCATCCGTGGCTGCCACTTCCCCTGTCACACAGACCAGCGGGAGGTGATTTTGAGTCATGGTTAAAGAGATTTGCCAAAAATCAAATTTACAATTTGATCTTCCAGTTCAGTCGATCTGCTACGGTATCTGAGGTTAGGTTCTTTAGTTCTGCACTGGAGCTACACAGTTAAAGTAGCTGAGAAATAACAAAAGCTTACAGTCACCAGATACATAACACTGAATAACATACTCAGGGAATCAAACCAGGGACCTTCTGGTCACAGGGCTGGTTCCCTAACCTCCAGCCCACGACTGCCCCAACATGGGGAAGGCCAAAATTCAGGCTACTACTACTTTTTAACTGTGCCACAGACTTTTATCAGTTTTTTGATAAAACAGTATGTTTATATACACCGTCATAAACCAAATAAGCGAATCTATTTGAGATTACTTAACAGTAGTTTAAGACAAATGTGTGACGTAACTGGTGAAGTTTAAGCTTCCATTGCTTGTTAGCTATATTAGCCTTATAGCTCGTGTGCAAAACTAAAGGGCCAAACTTTGTGGCTGATTGACCACATTTAGGAAAGGGGAAAATTGGGTAAATTAAAATTTTGGCTGAATCACCACAATAAATACAAACATCAGACACATCTCACTATTAATCCCTGAGATTTACACTGAGTACCGTGTTTATTAATAAGCACATGCGGTGTGAGTCTACCTGATAATTGGGGTTATCAATCATAGGTGCTTTCCACTTCCCCTTGTATGCTGGGTTGGGCACCATGGGAGGCTTCCAGGACCCACAGCCTGCAGCCTCGGCACAGGCAGGGTTAGCGATTAGAGGAGCCTCCCATTCCCCGTCCATCTCAACAGACCTGTTCAGCCAATGGCATGAAAAACAAAGTCAGACTGAAGAATGAAGCCTGTAGGAGAAAGAATAATGACATCAACTGGAAAAAGGAGCACAAATGACTAAAACAGCTCATTATTAGGCTAAAGCTGCCCTCAGCCCATGAAGAAGAAGTGAAACCCCTGAGATTTCATTTTTACACCAAGGATTTTTTTTAGCAATTTAGTTATTTTTAACAATATCTTACCGAATGTGTCGTCTGGTGATGTCTCTCTTTAACTCATTAAAATCTACAGTCAGAGTAGCTGAGTCAAAGCACGCCCATGTTAGGCAGAGTAAAGCGGATTAATATGTACACCTGGTGCTCCCTGTGTGCTACAGGTTACTGCCACTACATAAAAGAAGCACGACGCATTTACTGTTGGATGCACTGCGATCATTTCCACATGTGAACACGTTCAGAACAGAGTTCAGATCACTAAGGGCTTATTACTGATTTGTTCCTCCGGACTAATTTAGCTCTGTTGTATGTAAGCATTCAAACACCCTCAAATTACATGTTTTGTAGACTTTCTAAGTGAAAATTTTCTCTACAAAGAACAACTAAAATATGCAATTTAGTGTACGATTTCTGTTTATTGGCTTTGAGTTTAACATATAGAAAAAAAAACGAGATAGAAAAATATGCCATAGTGTTTGCACAGGTGACATTTCATGTTTAACGTTTTTAACATTAAATTCAGCAAATAAACAGTAATTGTGCATTAAACTGTGCAGAAGTGTGTCTCTGTAGAGAAAGTGTTCATTTATTTTCACTTAGAAAATCAACAAAACTTGGTTCAACAAAACCTCTGGTTCAGCATATCAAAGTAACGTGACAACAGCACAGAAAAATCATGCTATTAAAGAAAAGGAGGAAGTTAAGAGGCAGAAATAGCTGCTCCTTTGCTGCATAATAGGGTTCTAGAAAGAAACCAGTAAGGAGAGGAAAATAAACATTATCTAAAAATACTGATAAAATGGCATAATCAACAAAATGAACTGATCTGGCAAAAATGAGCGAGAAAGGTCATTATTAGCCTCAAGCCAGCCTGAATCCCTGAAAAGAGAGAGAATCCACTTAGTTCTTTAATTTCGTGGATTGGGGCAATGGAGATTAAAAGAGAGAGAGAGAGAGAGAGAGAGAGAGCAAGAGAGAGAGAAAGAGAGAGAGAGAGAAAGAGAGAGAGAGAGAGAGAGAGAGAGAGAGAGAACGAGAGCGAGAGTGAGAGCGAGAGAGACAGAGAGAGAGAGAGAGAGAGAGAGAGAGAGGCCTGACTCATGACTCGTGTCATGTGTTCAGAAGCTGGCTTACACACCAGTCATGTGGAGGCTGAGCTTCTGAGTCTGGGACAAAGGGCTCTTCCTCTTCTATCCAGCCTTCAGGTCTTTGCACTGTGGGGTCAGCAATGAGCCGAGGGGCTTCCTCATCCCTGCGATAACCAATAACCAGAGACAGAGCTTCATCACTGCCTTCATACCTTTACTGATACTTTCCCTACATTATCTCCTGCGTACAGTTATTACACATACAGTCAGTCGGCTGATTTCAGAGTTTTTCTGTGGTGCCTGTGGTGAATAAAGAAAAGGCACTAATAAGACACTTTGAGACAATAATGACTTTAACCTTTAACCTTTGATCTTTATTGTATTAGTCCAGCGGTCGGCAACATGCGTCTCTTTTACTGTCCTGTGGCTCCACAGCTGAATCAGATTTGTAGGTAAAAATAAAATAATCCTCCTTTACAGTAAAATAAAGCTCTGCTGATCGTTCAACACAGTTTAACAGTAAATGGTCTTAAACTCTGGAGTTAATGTAGAACTGCTAATTCACCCTTTAACCCTGAAGATCAGCACAGACTGCTGGTCACCATAGCAACAAAGATAACAATCTCACCTAGTTAGTAGCTAAAGAAACGGCAAAGAGAGAGATTTAAGATAAACATTGATAATTTGGAGATGAATGGACTGATTTGTGTTTATAATCACTCCAGCTGGTTTCCTGATACGTTTAACCTGCAGTGAGAAACTCAAACACTAAAAAGTCACAAAGCTGAAGTCGCTTCTCATTCGAATTGTCCAACAATATCCAGGTGGACCACACAGCAGTTGTGCCTAATAGAGTGGACAGTGAGTGGACACAGTGTTTAAAAACTCCAGCAGCACTGCTGTGTCTGATCCACTCGCACCAGTGCAACACACACTAACACACGCCAGTGTCACTGCAGTGCTGAGAATGATCCACCACCCAAATAATACCTGTTCAGTGGTGGTCCTGGGGGCTTCCTGACCACTGAAGAACAGGATAAAAGAAAGTAGAAACAGATGGACTACAGTCTGTAACTGTAGAACTACAGAGTGAAACTATGTGGTCAGTTAACCTCATAAAATGGACAAAGAAAGTAGATACAAGGTAAGAGTTCTTAATGAAGTGGGTTTAATGTGTGTATTTAGTGCATTTAAAGACATTCTCTGATTTGCCCAAAATAATGGAATCAAACTGAACCACTGTGAAAGTTGGGGTTTCATGATTTCGTTGTTTTCTGAAGAATCATAATTTAATCAAATTATTGTAAGATTTACATCTCTATTCCATATATTAAAATGGAATTCAAAATGTTTGCATAATTAAATTAAGACGTAATCTAAGTGAATCAGAGTGATTTGGCATAAAATGTTTTGTTCTAGAGAAAATTACGGAGTCAGAACTGTTCACAGTGGTGGTGATAGGAACCAGACGTCCACGTCCAGAAGCTCCCTCACAGAATGTAGCAATACACAAAAATAGCAACAACAAAGTTTTGCCTTAAAATGTATTTTGTAAAAGTCGTTTATGTCACGTGTGCATTAAAATCTTGTATAAAATCTCAGATGTGTAGGTTCACTGGTCAAAAACTCTTTGAGTGACTTTGCTTTGTCCTGCAGAGTCCAGTTTTAGTTTTAGTTTAGAATTTGGATCTGTAGCATTTCAGACTGGAGCTCCGTGAAAAGCTGTTGAATCTAAACACTGACAGTAGATCTGCATTTCTTCTTTAAACATACCAGTCGTGGGGTTTTGTTGCTGTGGGGTCAGGAATATGGCGCCTGTCATCCCAGTCGGTGGGTTTTGTATCTTCTGGGTCTTCTATCTCACGAGGAGGCACCACTGGTGGGTCCATGTCCTCCAGCAGACTCCCCTGTTTGACCAGCGTTTGGTCAATGAGAATTTCAAAGGTGTTGTCTGGATATAAATCTGAAAATAAGGTGTGTTCCAGAAGCTGGGTTAGAAGCATCTGTATAAAACATCTGTATAAAACATCTGTATAAAACTGTCGATTATAACCGGTAATAATTTTGATGGTTTTCGCTGTAGTTAGAAAACACTAGAAAATGACTCCAAATACACCTATAGTAAAAACCAGTGGGCAGTTGCTTCAGTTAATATACAGTTGTATGCAAAAGTTTGAATACGCTTGGTTAAATGACATTTTATTAATTTGAAATTTTTTTAGCTCAAAATCTAGAGGGAACAAACTTAAATATGACATTTTTATGCCATTTTTAGTGTGAATATATTTTCATTTGTTGAATATATGTACAAAATAGAATTAAAATAAAAAAAATGAACTGCTTGACAACTGAACACACATAATTCCAAAAGGTTTGCTCATCAGCTGATACACTACAAATTTGCACACAGATTTGATTTAACCCCTCACCAGGCAGTCAAATATAACTCTCCACTGGTGAACTTTGCTCTAAATGCTCTGCAGATGCTCTCGGAACATTTCTCCGTGTTTTCTCTTCTCCTTTAGTAGCAGACCTGATATCCAGCTCTGTTTCTGCTCTGAGACATTTCAGTGCTCAACTTGAAACCCAGTTAAAAGAAAATCGTAATGGCTTCTCTGACAGTAGAGAAGAAAGTTATTTTGAAATGTTGTGCAGAACCGAGCGGCACTTAACCCTTGTGTGGTGTTGATGTGTGTGATACTCAGTGGTCTGCTGGACCCACCACAATACTGTTCTTTAAATCAATACAGCCATAACAACGTACGTAAAAATACCAGATGTTTAAAATATCACTAGTGTCCAGCGTAGGGTTCTCCTTTAGCAGCTGTAGCCAGTCAGCAGCCTGTCCATGTTGTCCACCCTCACACACACAGACACACACATACACACACACACACACAGACACACACACACACATACATATACAAACACATACAGACACACACACACACACACACACACACACACAGACACACACACACACACACACACACACACTAACAGCAGGCCATGTAGGAGGAGAGCAGAGTGAAGGACACAGCACCTCCACACCACAGAGTGAAGACACTGAAAATGGGTTATTTTATATATTCTTCACAGAAAATGAGCAAAGACCAATCTGAGGGTGAAATAATAATAAAATCACATCATTTTTTCTTTTGGTAAACATTGAAAATGGGTCCCTCAGACCTGAACACCACACAGGGGATAAGATCTACATTCCTGCTCTTTGTTGTGGACGTCTTGATACTAAACCGACTGAATTGAGTTAAGGCTGATACTGAAGTTGCCTGGTCTGGACTTGGTCAAAAAAGCCTGGGACAGGACCCTGTTTAGATTAATTTAATTTAAGTAATTGTGTATCTTTGTGTCTGTTTGTTGGTTGGTTTGTTTATTTTTGTACTGAAAATGCTTAATAAAAATACCCTGACCCCTCGGCCCCCCCTACTGGATTTGCATCGATAGCTGCTGATTTAAGGCCTGTCGGTCACTCTTGCTGAGACTTACTGAGAGCGTAGAGATGAGGCTTGAGGTCCGTGAAGTAGTCGCTCAGGTCAGTCTCAGGCTGCCGAGCGTGCTTCTCCGCGTACGTCCCGGTCCGAGGGTTCCGGTGGCGGAATATGAAATGCACCTTGTAAGTACTGCCGCATTTGTCTGGACCAAACATGATGCTGTATGGGGTGACGTCACTGAACTGACTCTACAATCATTTTCCAAAAAGAAAAAAATAAATAAACAAATAAACAAAACAGAATGGATGTGTTCACATGTATCCTTTGTGTCTAACTGTGTAATGTTGGTTAAATGGAGTCACAGTTTTACTCTGAAGTTTGGGTCTTTAGCTTTGCTTGGGAGCTACAAAGCTAATTTAGCTAACAAGGATCGGAAACTTCTATCCCCCAATTAACAGGGTGCAAACTGCATGTGCAAATCATTACCAGTTCAAACTATGCTGAGTTGATCAGTAAACTCAAGTAGACTTTCTGATCCTGAACAATATTATCTATAAAAATGGAATAAAGGTCCATCTTGTTGTCTGATTTTGTCCGTACTTTGTGGTAAACTACACTTTTCATCAGATTATCATACCAAGCGGAGATCATCCGAATGAGTGAGCAACTTTATGTAGGCTCCACCGCAGTCGATCCCCTTTTGGAAGTGAACCTCATACCTGTGAAGAATCCACAGTCAAACATTCAGTCAAAGGACCTGTATGAATATTGGAGGGATAATAAATGAAGACTGGCTGAAACGTCTCACTGCAGAAAGAGGGGTTTGTCTCTGAAGTGATACACCGTGCGAAGGTACGCAGCTATAGCGTGATGGCGACCTGGAGATTTGAGCACAAGGCCCTTGTTTCCTAGTAGCACTTGTTTCTCAGGCTCCTCCACAACCCACCCTCCTAAACGGAAACACGAGAGCAACACGTCTCCTTTTGCTTCATTGCTTCAGTGTTATTATCATCAAACAGTCTCACACAAGCTTTTCACATCACTGAGACGCTGCACTGGAAAGATGCACAGACACCATGCTTACCATCGTATTTATGAATGTCAGCATCCTTCTCTTTCACCGCCCGGGACAGCACCCACTTTCTTCACCATGAACACAGAGTATTACACATAAAACATGGGCAAATAAAGGACGACAGGTACCTTAAAACACCTCTGTAATAAGAAGGAAATTACCTGTCCAACGAGTCTGTATCAAACGTTTCTGCAAAATAGGCCTGAGCTGGAGCGGCGACAGACCTGTACACACTCTGACAGTCGGAACAAGGTTGGAAAACGTGATATTAACAACTACTGTTATTATTATTATTATTATTAGTAGTAGTAGTAGTAGTAGTAGTAGAAGTAGTACTGATAGTAATAGTAGTAGGAACAGCAGTAGAATATTACAATGATATGGTAAATGTCTCTGCACGCTCCTCCTGTTACCGTCGCTTTTTAACTTTTATTCTGACTACAAAGGTATTTCTGCATGTACAGAAAACTTGTTCTCTTATAAAACACAGTAAACAGGCATGACTGGCTGTTTTATGCATGTTAGAATTTGTCATAGTTACAAACACAAACGTCCAGAGCCCCCAAGGCGACATGGTGATTATTTTTAATAAGGCATGACCACAAATTACCAAACTGAGGCCATAAATTAATACATTGAGGCCAAGAGTTATAAGAAGCTTAACTCATGGCCTCAATATATTAATTCGAGGCCACACCTTATTAAAAAATAATCACTATATCACCTCAGGGCAGGGGTGTCAAACTCAACCAGTAAAAGGGCCATTTTAAAAAGAAAGGGGTAGAAGAGTTGGAGCACATTACGTTGCAGTGCATGCTGGGGACTGTAGTGCAGCACACTGTGAAACTGGAGTAACATTAACAGAAAACTGAAATACTTTTGTGGGCTGGAATGTGAGCACTGTGTGACAGGCCTGACCGGCCCACGGGCCTTGTGTTCATCACATGGGCCTTAGGGGCTCCGGACAAACAGACTGCACTGTCTGTAATGTTTATTGTATATTTTCTCAGGTCTAGGGAGCCCCGCTGGTGACACCCCACAATAATGCACGGCCACAACTTAGGAAGGCATGGGAACAAGATAAGTCATGGCCACGCCTTAGTGAGGCATGGGAATGAGATCCTAATGCATGGCCACGACTTAGTAAGGCATGATCTTGTTCCCACGCCTTACTAAGTCATAGCCACGACTTAATTATTTCATTCTCATTATCTCATGCCTTACTAACTTGTGGCCATGCATTAGGATCTCGTTTCCACATGTTAATAAATTGTGTCCATGCATTATTTTTATTTATATTGGATGTCACCAGCAGGGCTCCATATAGTAAGGTGTGAGAAAGAGATAATTAAGTCGTGGCCACGACTTAGTAGGGCGTGGGAATGAGATACTTAAGCCTTGGCCACAGATTATTAAGGCATGATCTCGTTCTCATGCCTTATGGCCACGACTTAATTATCTCATTCCCACACCTTACTAAATCGTGGCTACCCATTACGTTCCCTCACGTTAATACTGCGCTTTTCTTTTACTCAGTACTCATTGTTTATGTAGTGGGCTGTAGTCCGGAAGGTCGCGCAGAGTAAGAGTTTCATTCGGTCTGTTTCTCTTTGCTTATGACAATAAAGTCTTGAATCTTGGACAGTGATGACATTATTATTATTATTATTATTATTACTGTTATTATTATTACTATTATTATTATTATTATTATCATTACTATAATTATTATTACTATTGTTATTATTATTATCAACCATTGAACCATGCTTAGACCGATGGCTGATGACTTTTATTTGATTGATCGATTTGGAATCATGACAGACTGACCTGGTCCTCCTCGGTGGGACTGAAAGTCAAACAGAAACATAAAGCAGCGAGCAGGCTGATCATATCTGACACACAGACAGGGACAGAACCGAGTTCAGCTCAACCTGCGAGGCAAAACGGCCCGTTTTCAGAGCAGCTCTTCTGCAGAATCCGGTCCTGAGATTTTCCCCTTTACCTCGTCCTCACTGTCCTCACTGTCTTCACTGTCTTCACTGTCCTCACTGTCTTCACTGTCCTCACTGTCCTGCAGCGCTATGGGGAACTTGTGACCGAGTGAACAGCAGAAAACCGAAACTCCGTGTTTGGTTCTTTATCGCGCTTTTAGCCCTGAACGCGTGAACTCCGGGCTTTAGCCTGCTCTGCCTCGTCCAGCAGAAGCTTCCTGCTCAAGCTTATTAAAAGTGGACTTTGGTCAGGAGCTCATTTACAGCCACACTGAGGAAACGTGAAGTAAACTCTGCTGACTGATCATCCAAACCGGCCGCCTTCCTCGGATTTACGGCCTTAGTGAGTAGTTCTGTAGTTATTTCATGTTCGTGTCTAACAGAGGTGAATATTCAGCCAATAAACCAACAGACAGAGGTTAAACCCAGTTAGCTTTATTTTAAGGTGATGAACTTCAGGCTGTGGCGATGATTTTAGTTTTTCATATGTTTCGTCTGCAGCGAAGGCGGAGCAGGCGGCGCTCCGCAGGTCGAGCCTCGCCACAGACGCTGTAGAGGCGGAGAGGCGCCAATGCGGGGAAATGAAGGGTGCGCTCGTAACGCTCAGCATGACGTCTGTTCCCGGAGAAAGGTTCGAGTTGGTTCGTCTCTCCCCATTGAGAGTGATTGGACTCCGGTCCTGTACGGCTGTAAATATTTGCCAGGCGGCGCTGCAGAAAGGCCGCCGAGTGGACGAGCTTTCCTATGAGGACTTTTATAACATTCCCGTATTCAGATCTGAGGGGCAGGGAGTTTTCACCTGTCATCTCAGGTGCTTTTCAGTAGCGCCGGCCAACATCGCCCAGTAAGCAACGAACATTCTTGTATTTTACAAAATAAGAGTACCCACAATTACTTATTACACCAGAACTCAATCATTTATGTGTAAACCAAAGGTCACTAATAGGCGGACCGCGACGCTGTCCTATGCGGACCTGGACCTATAACCGATAAACTATGAAGAATTAATTAATTTCGACAGGGTGGTCCTTTTTTAATTCATTTCAAGTCATTACTGTACCGGTTTAGCGGCCCGAGAGACTCACAGACCAATCGCATGCGTTAAAAATATCATACGTGTTGCTACTCAGCCAATCAGATCTGTGCAGGGGCGAGGCGAGACACAGCAGTCGGAGGAGAAAGTGATTATTTTACATGCTGCGCTCTGAAAAAAATAAAATGACAGTAAATATTATTGAATTATGACTGAATCGTACTTTATTGAAATATGACTGAATTGTACTTTATTTGATTTGACACTCAGTTGTTGACTGTATAAGATGTTGATATACCTACTAGGCTACTTCAGTAAACAGTATACAGCACTGAATCATGGTGCAAGTTAGATGTTATGATGTTCCGGACCTTTGGTTGAGGAAATTTTCTCTGACTGGACCTTATTGAGTTTTAATTAAAGACCCCTGATTTAAACAGTGTCATTCATGTGAAATGGTGCTCAGATTTTCTTTCCAGTGGTGGTGAAGGAAACCTACACGTCTTCTGAGTTTTTATATCTAATGTTGAAAATGGTAAAATAGTGGTAAATCTGAATCTGAACTGCAGAATCTACAAACCGCTCTGAGCGACTTTGTTTACATTTTAATTTATTTATTTATGAAGACATTCTGAACAATCAGTGGATTTTCCTTTTAATGTCAAATAAAGCTAATTATTTAGTGTCAAATAAAAGTCCATTTTTAAACTTCTGTCCCTGTGGCAGTGGTTTTCAGCTCCTGGGGACCCTGCCCTGCACAACAGGTCCAGCTCGGGAATGGCTTGCTGATTAGCTGACGAGCTGGATGAGGTGTGTTTGGGAAGGAAATCGTTGAAACTGTGGAGGTCAGTGGGTGGCCAGGCCTGGAGCTGATAACCACTGTCCCAAGGTACAAACAGTGATGTACCCTAAAATGTCCTTAAAGGGGAACTCCACCAATTAAAAAAAAAAAATCAGCATAATTAAGTGGTTAAGATGTAAACAGAGCGGTTCAGAGTGGTTCAGAGTCATTCAGAGTGGTTTGGTGTGAAACGCTCTGTTCTAGAGAAACTTACCGAGTCAGAACTGTTCACAGTGGTGGTGATAGGAACCAGACGTCCACCTCTAAAAGCTCCCTCACAAAAAGTTACTACATGAAATGGTTATGAACACTGTAAAGAAATGTGAGTCGGTACATTTCTCTACAATTAACCATTTAACCTTAACCATTTCACATCCAATCACTCAGAATGGCTCTCAACCAATCAAGGAGAAATTTTGAAAAATCAGTGGGGTACAGTGCAAATTTATACCCATTTAATACTTTCGTTTTTTTAAATAGACAGGGGAGGGTACCACCACCACCACCACCACCACCACCACAGCAACAACGTTTGTACCCTGAAAGGTACAGTATTTTCTGACAGTGTAGAATTATTAACGGAACAGATTAGAAAACAGACATTTTTAGAGAAAAATAGAAAAGGGCGGAATAGCAAAAATGTAATGTCGATGTAATGAAGAGATTTACACAGAATATGTTTTATATAGTCACAATAACTTTTAGTCCAATTTATTATTCTTATATGTTTTATTTTTACATTTAATTATTTTTTTCTATATCCTTGTAAATCTTCATTATAAGGTTTGTAAGATCTCATTGCCCGACAGTTTATGCTACTGGTACGAAGTTTCCCGGTTTAGTGCTGAGATTAATTTGTAAGATACTAAGACTTCTTTCTGCAGAAACAAAGCTCAAAAAATAACATTAAAATTTTGTGCCACTGTCTTCAGCTTCTTAGCACATATTCAACTTCTGGAATACAAACACAAACTTTTATGAAGTGCAACAAAGAATGTATTGCAAAAAAAATAGATACGTACATATATCAGCTCAGCTCTGCAGAACAACATATGGCTTTATAGTTCAACTATACCTTTTTAAAAATGACCAAACTTTTGAAGCAAACCTCTTCAACACCTCCAGACCGCCGGTGGTTCCAAAACGGACTTCCTCATATTCTTCATAACTTTCATATTTCATAAGCTACATTCAAAAGGTGGGTGTCGTATGAGAGCTGTAACTGTCTTCTTTCCAGTCAAATAGATGGGTGATATAATTTTAAAACTTTATAATAAAAGAAGCTGAACTCAATTTTTTTTTTTTTGTCTACTAAAAGTCAACCCATTTTTCCACAAATCTGAGCTACAAACTGGATCTCAGATGGCGTCTCTTCAGTGATCTGCTCTGTAAAAATTATTTTTATAAAATAATACAAAAAGTGTCTAAGATTTTTGGCTTTCGGCAGTAAATTGTAAGCATATAGCAACATGTGTATAATCATAAAACACGTTCTGTTAATTTGAGATGAGCGTTTACAAAAATAAATAAATAAAATAAAAATTACATTTATTTCATGCAGTTACTGAATAATTTGCCTTACGATTTGGTCATGTAAATTCAGATGGAAAAACCAAAATATACCCTGGAGAATAAGAGGTAAATTAATGTAAATACTGTAACCGCTGAATCGTTGATGTCAACATTGGACTTTTATTTTGAAGAGCACGTCTGCTCGCACTAAGCGCGGCTGGGTCGGTGGGAGCGGTGCTGAGCGCTGGTCGGAGAGGCGCGGGAGGATCTCTGAGGCGGTGAGAGGTTTGGCTAAACTGACCCTGTATGGGGGATTCGGCTCTCTCGGGTTGTGTTAAATGGGCTGTTAAGTAAATCACAGACGGATTCGCGCAGACAGTCCGCGGCGGCGCTTTAAACGCCTCGGATTGACCGGAAACGAAGTGATTTAGCCAGTTAGCCTCAGAGCTACTCTAGACCCGCTAGCTGCTCGGCTAACGCAGCGCGGCGGTGAGTAGCTGAGGCGGGTGTAGCTTTTAGCTTCGGCTAACTCGCCCATATCCCGCACTTTCAGTCTCCTGTTCGCGGAGTCACAGTTAGTAATGTATGATTTGTTCATCAAATGTTTAATTAGGTTTAATTAGGTTCGCCAGCGATGAGAAGCGGCGGTGCTTTCAAGACGTGACTGGCTGGTAGTTTGGGGCTGGTAGTTTGGCGCTGGTAGCCGCGCTAACAGTAACCAGCGTCGGGGTAACTGGAGTCGGACCTCTCCGGCTTCAGCGCTCTACCGGGCTGAGGATGACGGTCGTCTTCGCGGACTGCTCGCTGTGTACACGTTAATCGTGTTATTCTGAGCTGTCAGATTCGCGGTAATGGTAGTAGTTTTGCAGGGTTGGCCGGGATCCTGCGCGTTAGCCGGAGCGTTAGCCGGCTGGGTGGAGGGCTGAACACTCCGCTTCCTGAATTCGGCTTCAACTTGAAGTAACTTAGCTGAGAATCGATTAACTTCCTGCTGTGGAAAGCTGACTGTGTTTCCAACTGCAGCGTCTTTTCTTCGTAATATCTGCCCGTTTTTAATATGCTTGATAAAGCGGAGTGAATTCCTCGAATAAAACACGGTGCTAACAAACAAACTAACTAACAAACAAACAAACAAACTAACTAACTAACAAACAAACGGTGTTTGTGCTTTAGGTGCGCTGAGTTGTGTAACGTTATCGAGTAACTAACCCAACGTTACAAGTCTTACATTCATAAAAGCATCGCAGGATTTAACAGCGTCCAGATTTATTTAAGTTACGATGCTTTTTGTTGTCCACGTGATCGAGAAATCAAGGTGTAGACGAACTAACTTTATAAACTTCTTTTTATGTTTACATGAGAAGAGTTTGATTTAGAAGCCAAAGTGAAGCTTTTTTATATTAAGTTTTTTGCCTGATTGTAACTGGCTGTATTAAAATGGTGCATACAGTTGTAATTATTCTGAATTGTGAATCCAGTTTCTGATTGATTTTTCACAAGTGCTAAAATAGTTTTTCTAATATGAAAGTTTACTTAAGTGTATTAGACCTGTCAGAATGATTACATAATCACCTGATCACAGTTATTAAAGCTGGCCACAGTTATTTTCTTTGGTTGTTAGCTTTCATATTCATGTTTCATATGTCATGTTTATGAATAAGAAAGTATAAAACACAGTTTCTGGTCTGTGATATATGCAGAGCACCGCGGTTAGTTGTGTTTATTTGAACTCGGGCTGTGTCTGTGGTCACTTTGGAGCTACTAAGCATCAACAGCTACAAAGCAAGATAGTTAATCAGCCAGTTTGGCTACTTTAGATTTGTACTTTTAATAAAAAAGACACTTGCTAATCACAGTTAATTCTATGGCAATTAAGTGTGAGCTAAAAAGGTATTTTTATAACAAGTTAAAAGTGCAGTTGACTGATTCAGGTCTTCTTATGCACTGTAGGTGTCCCTGCTGCTGTAGACTGAAGAAGGATGCAGACGATAAAGTGCGTCGTGGTTGGCGATGGGGCTGTGGGGAAAACATGCCTTCTCATCTCGTACACCACCAATGCTTTCCCGGAGGAGTACATCCCCACCGTGTTCGACAACTACAGCGCTCAGATGAGTGTGGACGGTCGCACGGTCAGCCTCAACCTCTGGGACACAGCGGGGCAGGAAGAGTATGACCGCCTGCGCACGCTTTCCTACCCACAGACCAACGTCTTCATCATCTGTTTCTCCATCGGCAGCCCCTCCTCGTATGCTAATGTTCGACACAAGTGGCATCCCGAGGTTTCACACCACTGCCCCAGCGTGCCCATCCTCCTCGTGGGCACCAAGAAGGATCTGCGTTCTGACAGCGAAACCGTGAAGAAGCTGAAGGAGCAGAACCTGGCACCCACCACCCACCAACAGGGCAGCGCGCTGGCCAAACAGATTAATGCGGTTAAGTATTTGGAGTGCTCAGCGCTGCTCCAGGAAGGTGTCAGAGAAGTGTTTGCAGAAGCGGTGCGTGCCGTGCTTTACCCAGTCACCAAAAAGAATTCCAAGAAGTGCGTGCTTTTGTAGTCGCTTTGCTCCCCCAGGAGACTGCCAGTGGAAATGGACACGCAGCAGTCGGTGGACAGACGTACATGGGATGATCCTGGTGTCGATAGCCATTTTTCCTCCTTCACGTCTCTCTCTTTTTTTTAACCACTCTACGTATTGTTTTTGGCTCCCTGATTTGTGTTTTGCAGTCACCAAAGTATGCGCTCTTCGCTGTAACTGAACCATTCGCTCCTGTTGATTTTTAAACCACTCTCCTTTCTGGCCTCTTTCCTCGTCTCGGAACGATGTGGTTGTCAAGATCGCTTGCACTTACCTCAGTGACTGTGGAAAACGGAAAACGCAACATAAATGGAAATATTCCGCTAATAAAATATAAAGCAATACACATGAGGTTGGTTGAGGTTCTGACCCGTGTTGGCCCGGTGGTGGAGGATGACGGTCGCCTGAGCTGGCAGTGATTACTTGAGCAGCCTCTGAGGAGAGAAGCAGAGCTCTTCCTTCTGTCTGACATGACACTTCTTCTACATTCATATTTGTTTTTAATGTACTCAGAAATCCAGCTCTGATTATCACCCGGTGCAAAAACAACATGCCAGTGAGAAAAGACCGTTAAGTGATCCGGGCTCTATTGGCAATAAGCCATGATCTTGATTCTTAACTAAATACCTGAGAACGAGCTTTTTTCCCAGAACCTTTTTGATATGCATTGTATTTCACAACTGCCAGTGTAACATCCAGGAAGTCATCATGTTAGCTGAGTCGGGTCTCAGTCTGGTGTGATGGGCTTCTAAAATATGTGCCTTATCCAAAAGGTCACAGTGGGTTTGGGCTACACAAAAGGCTGTAACTGTATATGGAGGCTGTATGACAGTACCTGGCGGAGCTAAGTCTAGTCTAGTCTTGTCAAAATGACTGTACTGTTATCAGACTATCATAAGTCTGTAGCCCAAACTTCCCTGTTGCCTTTTTCTTTCGTTTATGCATAAAAAATTTACCCATAAAGATCTATGGAATGCCTTACTGACACACCTGCAGTGGCCTCGTAAGCCTAATTCTAAATGCCTGATCTATTTCTAAAGTTGTCCTTAAAGTCCCTGCCTGTCTTTTTATAAATATCTGAAGCTTCCCGACGTCGTTGCCTAGTTACAGGTTCTCCCGTGTGCCCTCTGCCTATGACTGAGCACACGATTCAGTAACGGCCGCAGTGCTGGGACGGAAGAACAAAGCCATGAAAGTAAATGGAGCGTTTGTCCCCTGTGCCCGGAGGTTGAGCACCAGGCATCCGGGCTGCTCCGGTCGGAACCCTCAGTGTCTAGCGCAGTGTCATTCCCATGACGCATCGCTGCAGGACTGGGTGGATGTTCTGGATATTTTACAGCTACAGTTAACATATCATATCTGCCCAGCACTTACACCCGGTTTAGTCACAGGCATTAGCCCCCATATGGTGGAACCATTCGCATGCAGCGTTATATATTTACATAAAGCTGCAACATTTACTCCTTGAGGAAAATAATTAGAGGAATATTCTTGTTCATGCAGGTTCTGTGGGATGATCATAACTGACATGTAACTTTTGGGATATGAAGCTTATCGACACCAGCTGTTTTTTACTGACTAATTGAAATGTCAATTCTTGATTGAGGTATTAGTAAATGACTTTGCAGTGCATGTGCAGACTGCTGCAGTTTGCAGATACCGATATCACCATATCGAGACCTGGTTACACCAGAATATTCAGAATACACATAACTGGACTGGTCTTTGGCTCTAACACAGATAATAAGAGCATATGAACGCAGGAAAGTTGTTTTTGTGCCTTTTTGTTTTACACTCTGAAATGCTTGATACCTGTGGGCTGCGGAGACGCTGTTCACAGTGACTGCCTTAAACAGAAAAAGGTGCCTTTTGTACTCAACCAAAATCATGTTTATTGTCTGGTTTAGATCCCTAAAACACCCCTGATCTGTTTCTCTCGGTCCAGACAGTGATTTAATATTTGGCAAACTGCGTTACATAAGCTTAACCGTAAGTCAGAGTGTTTTGCATCTCAGAGGCGAGTCTAAGTGTAATGTGGTTGTGATGAAGGCGGCTGCCTTTCGGTTTTAATCATCTGGAAATGTGATGCCTGTACGCCTGCACATGTGTGATCGCCATCTCGGGTTTTGTGGCAGATACAAATGCAAAACTGACATGACTGAACTCTACTGTGGTTTCAATGCTGAAGGGGCACCTAGTTTCCTTCTCAGCATCATGCTAAAAAAGATGTTGCACATTTCTGTATGCGACAAGGTCTCCGAGTTGTTGTAACGGTTAGACGTGCATTTCAACTCTTAATAGCTTTTATTTTGCAATTTTACTTTTGATTTTTTGTCTACAAAACAGCCAAAGAGTGCCTTTGGATGCAAAGATGTCAGATTTCTCTTATTGAGTAAATGGACCTGCTCTTTTGTGAGTAATTTTTAAAAAAATAGTAAATATCTTTATAAGCCATTGTTTATTTTTGCTTTTCTTGCCTTTTTATTGGATAGAATACCACAAAAACCAAATTCACTGATCGATCTGTTATTGTCATGGAGGTGTTTGTGAGAGAAAAGCCCTCAGAACTGAAAACTGTGGAAAGGATGAATCTGAGAGCGACTTGTCTGTTGGTGAACCATTCCTTGTTATTTCTTTCCCTTCTTCACTGTAATGCTGTCAGAATTGAACAGACGAGGCCCCACGCCGCCTCCGTCTGCCTGCTATGGTGTATGGTACTACATTTATACACTGGGAACTTGATTTTGTCGAAATTGTCATTTTTATAACAAAACATTTGTATAAATGAACTAACAGTGTAATAATTTTAAATTATGCTAAATAAAATTATAATTTACGATTCATTTATGAGCCGTGGTGCTTCCTTCACCCTCCTGCCTTCGCCGGCGTCCTCGTACGTGTGATGGTGGTGAATGACTCACTTTTTGTAGAGCTCAGAGGAAAAACACGCAGCCGTGGGCAATAAGTCAGAATGGAAAGGAGTGACTGCTAAGATGGAAAGAGGAAACCGATCAGTAAGCAGGACGGTGTTTTGCTGCTGACATGCCAGAGTGCAGACTGCGTTCGTGCCCTTACTTAAGCAGGTTTCCGCTGCTCCTGTGCACAAGCCACAACAAAAGAAGCTGATATGCATCACTGCTTGCAGCACAGCGGCCTGAAGGCTCCACTGTAGCTCACATTCTCTCACCTTAACTGCACTCTTGTGTGTTAAAGGTGATGATCCACTCTCTGCTCTTTCCTTTTGTGGTCACGGCTAAGCTACAGTTTGTCTCCCAACAAGACAAGAGATTTAAAAAAGGCTTGTAATCAATTAATGCTGATGGTTTTCACAACAATCTGCATGCTACTCTTATGAGAGGTGCAGTGATGCAAAGCCACTGACTCAAATCTGGGCTATGAATTGAAATCCGGTTCATAGTTATTAATGGTTATAGCAGTGATGCAATACTGTCTCCACACTTGACACCAGGGAGAAAGCAGGAAAAGGAAAACTGTAGTATCCCAGACTTGAGGACGTTATACGTCTACGTAAGATCTTATTTTGTAGAAGAGTTCTGTTTAAGAGGAGTTGACAAATGTTTCGCAAGACCATCTCTCTGTTGTCATCACCTGAGTATATGGTATAAGAATGAGATCTTGGAATAATTTCCATAATCTTTCTATTCCACTAGATGGCAATACAGCATTTCTTTGCTATCACCCAACACAGTATCCTAGGAACTATTTGCCTCACATCATCTCGAGGGACGCCTCGTTGTTACGGCCGCTGGTAACCAACTATTCACTGCATGACCAATCATGAATGGCTGAAACTCTATCCTGACTCTGTCCTCTTGCCACAGCTACACTTTTCTGGAGTCAGGAGTCAGGAATGTTTGTGCTCCTCATTTTCAGTCAAGAAGCGAACCATAAGTCCCGTCACTTCAGAAGACATTTCAGATCCTGAAAAATGTATGTGACCTTTAAGCCCCACTGCAAAACAGATGGCCTGAGTGATCCTCGACACCCTCAAGAAGTATGAGTGCAATTACTCCGCGAGTGCCTCCCCGATGGAATATATTCATGAATTCTGCGTAGGAGCGAATATTGGAATCGTCCGGCTGCTACTTCAGGACAATCCAGCACAGGCCCACTTTAATTACTCTTTGTTGTGAAATGAGACGCTGTGATTAGTGGCGTCGGGTTGAGGTTTAATTTTGCCGTAATGAAGAATCACCCCTGGGCGGAGGAGAAACGTTCACCACGGGAGCAGCGTAGATCAATTAGTCTAAACCAGCACAGTGTCAGAGCTGTGTGTAGAGTTACGACACCAGAAGGCTTTGCCCAGGAGGTGAAGCAGTGATGTCTTTTTAGGTAATTATTATGTTCTTGTTTTTATCTACCATCCTTTAAGTTGCCTTTAGTGAGGTTAAAACTCTGTGCCTAAAAATTAAGGTGTCTCCCCCACTGAACTGAACTGAAATGACTTTTACGCTGTTTTCCTGGACGGGTCATGCTTTTCAGTGCTCTGAATGGGTTTGACTGAGATGGACAGTTCACTTTATTAGAAACCCTGACCTCATAAGGCCACCGTGAGGCCAGTGTTAAAAGACTGTAGCCAGGGAGTGGATTACATGGCCTCGGGGGGACTCAAATATTTGGGACCTTCCACTGCAGATGTAAACATTAGATGAAAGAAAAGCCAATGAATATAATTTAGTCAGTGAAGAAATGGTGCCGCCAAGTTTCATATCGTTATCGACTCAGGGATTTGTTGCTTTAAATGGGATGTTTTCTATAATGTGTGGTAGTTTGGGTTTGAGTTTACCTTTATGGCTCGGTTTGGCAGTAAAAGAGAAGGACGTGTTTCAGATCTCACAGAAAAGCACTTGCTTAATTTTACTTTTCAGTTCTTGGTTTTGTTTGTTTTGTTTACAGTTTACAGGCTTTGCAAGACCCTGATCCACCCCTGACAGTAGCCCATGCATACTCAAGTGGTTAGAGTTAGCGTGTGGTCAGCGCTTTATGTTTCAAAACTGACACGTAGCCTCTCATGGATGTATGGATGGATGGAAGATCTGGATGGTTGGATGGATGGACGGATGGGTAGGCGGACAGATGGATGGATGGAAGATCTGGATGGTTGGATGAGTGGAAGATTTGGATGGATGGATGAATGGACAATTATAAATATATCTATGAATGATATATACATGTATATATACACATAATACTATGAATACAACATATATACGGTATGTTATGCACTGTTAGAGTGAGCAGTTATGTGTTGTATTCTATACACAGTGAACATATTTGGGTAGTTAACAACTCTCAATGCAACCCTGACACCCAGCAACACCTCTTAGACTGATGAACTCATACAGGCTCCATGCCACTCTCAGTCACTGCGGTGTCGAGAATGATCACCACCCAGAATAATATCTGCTCAACAGCGTATCTGAAACTGAGTAATGATGATCAGGATAAAGAGTCCCTGACGAATTGTGCATGATAACACATGGGCTACGGTCTGTACACCTATAGTGGACCTATAGGGCCGAAGTGGACCTACTGAAGTGGCCACTGAGTGGAGGGACAAGGTTTCTAATAAACCGTTGGGCTCAGTAAGTGAAGCAGAGTGTACTCTGTGTGGATAATGAGATGAACCACATGTAAACAGCCTCTCAGTGGGTTGGTTTAATTAATTATTTATTTATTTATTTTTGCCAGGTCTTTGTGTCCCTGAATCTCGAGCAACTGCAGAATTATGATGAAGCACAAGGAATTACAAGCAGACTTTTTTCTCTTCTCTTCATTCTACATTTGTCTTGAGACTCCATCTGCAGGAATCATTTCTTTGGTCTCATTTATGTTTAATACTCGGTGTCAGAGCCAGGCAGCATGCTAAAATGCTTTCTGTTTTCTAAGTTCTAAGAACTTGAGGACAGATAAATAATAAAACAATGGCATCTTTGACATTTCTAGAGTATTTATAGCTGATTTTAAAGTATTTATTGGAAGCTTATCTGAATATTCATGCTGATTTGAATATCTGGCCTTTATGATGGAAGGGATTCTTTGAATTATTACTTCCATCAGCATTTTTTCCCTCCTTGCAAAGTGGTGTCGAGGCCTGGTTTTGGCTGACTGATAGTGCTTGACTGCAGTGGATTAAAGCCAGTCTAGAGCAGCTCCTCTCAGTGTTCCTGACGCAGTCGTACGTCATTATGCTCCTTTTCAGACGTCTGTTCAGTTGTAATTACTTTCAGTTTCGAAACTAGCTGGCAGTGGCACTGTTGGGCGACGAGCCTGGTGATGTTTTCGAGAGGAGCTTCTTTTTACTCGTCTCTTCCCTTCTAGCCTTTTCCTTTTAGACACACGTTGGCTGGAGATCGTGAGACTGGTGTCATTTCTGTCACAGAGTGATATCTCCATCTGCTTCATGCAGCTGCAAAATAAATAAATTAATAAATAAATAAAGTAAACTCAATCAACTGTAGCTCCTTTTGAACTGAATTGCTTTGCCTCTATTTCACATACTTGCGGCAACTGGAGTGTCGGCAACACAAAAGGCCTCGAAACTCAACCACTCTCCACATCTGTCTCTCTGGCCAGTTAAGGCGTCCCAAGAGTTTCCCATATTAGGCCCTCAGAGCTGCAGTTGTTGTCTTGGTGTTTTTGATTCGTCTGAAATGGATTTCCAGCCCAGTGTTTTAGCGCCTCGCTGCAGTGCGTCTCTCCTCTCCTACCAGATGAACGTTTATGGGCCTGAGCTTGAAGAATGTTCCCCAAGGCCGAACCATTTTCTTCAGTCAAAACATTCAAACTAGCGTCTGTCTTTAATGCAGGAATGTTATTCAAGCAATACAACGAAGCTGTTTACATCATTGTAGCTTGTAGAGTAGCTCACTTTTTTAGCCTTGTGGGATTCCGAGATGACAACGTCGGGCCATAAACAGTGAAGTCAAGATCTACTTCAGTGATACAGAATCATAACTGAGCTCATCCTTTGGAAGTAAAGTATTAGACTGGTGGGGTTCTATGTTTGTGATGTCATGTCTGGGGGAGGGGCCAACTCTAAACCAGGATCTTGAAAATCAGGAGTAAGTAAAATGGCATAGCAATATGAGTCCTATTAAGGTTATAAGGAGGTAAAATGTTACATATGTGGAAGTGGGATGTACAGTACAGTATAAAATCTAGAAAAAATTCTATTCGTTTTACATGTTTTATTGTAAGTGGTTTTGCAGAGTGGGACAGTGTAGTACTGGTACACTCAGACAGCCACTCAAGTCATTTTCAGTGGGATTATGGGTGAGTCTCTTTGTTGTGTTCATTATTTGCTTGTCAACAATAACAGTTGCAGTTCATTAACAGTAACTGGCCAGTAGAGGTTTTCCGTCTTGTAGAAAGGGGATCCAGAGGCTCGTGTTAGATTCTTCTGAAATACAGTTCTGTGCAAAAATTACATTCAAAATGGCCATTAAGTACAAGTTATTCACTTTCCAGTGTCAATAAAAGCAAAAAACTTGTATTTAACAGGTAACATGAAGCCTCAACAACTCAGTATCACATTTTTCAGTTATTAGTCTGTCCACTTTTTGCCTCCATTCTGTTTGGGAAACTTGTTTTCAGTATTTCAAAGAAAACTGCAGGGATATTTTTTTCACACCACCAAAGTTCAGTCTTAGAAGTTGGTTGCATTTTCTGCCTCTCATGATTCAAGTAATCCCCACCACACTGAGTGATGTGAGGTCTGGACTCTGGGGGGGCCAGTCCACTGTTTTGTGGACACCAGCAGCACTTTTTCTTTTTATCTATTTTCTTTTCTCACATCTTTTCATATTCTTAATGTTGAGTT